GTAACTACCACTAGAGGGATGAACCAGTTATAAAATTTGGAAAAGGACTTGATAGTTGGTGAGAGGATGCTATCAGTTTAAAAGAAAAAAAAGTCATGCTAATAATAGTCGGTATAACCTGATAATGAATCAGTGTCTACACAATTGTGATTCAACGCTGATATCAGCCAGCGATTAGAGAGCCTGTAATAAGAGTTGGTCATATGCAACAAGCTAGAATATAGTACAGTACATACCGTATGTTTTTAAATTCAACACTTACATCACCGGTGAGTTTTTCTGTTGAACGATCTAACATCAGGTTTTAGTAATTGAAAAAGATTCCAAACGATTGTTTTACCATTTACCAGTAAAAACTTCTTGCCTTCTTATCCTACATTAGTAAATTGAAACTAAAACCTTAAATTTAGGTTAGGTTAGAATTATTTAAGTGTCATTTTATATATAGAACAAATTATTTTCATTTAGTTTCATGACATTGAGTTTTGTATAAAAATAAAATACAGTTATTTGCTAAGAAAATGATATTTAAATAATGTCATAAATACATCATTATCCAAAAATTTCCAACAAAGAAAATATATTAATAAATATGCAAAAGTTTATTTATATAAAACTATACAAATTTTTAATCATTTTCTCTGGATTTCTCCAAATCTGAATTAGGAGCTTCTTTAATTATTGCACCTTTCCTTTTTGGCAAAACTTTGAGAAAGGATTCTTGCCAAGTCAAGCCTTCTGCAACTCTCAACAAAATTTCAAAAACTAAAATAAACATCAAATTAATTTTAAAATTATAATATGTATAATTTATACATTTATATAAAAGTTTTTATATAATAAAATTTAAATTATTAATAAATTATCTATTGTTTTGTATTTAATAATGCTCAAAAAATATTATATTCAAATATATGATACTATAACTTGTATACATTTCCTAATTTACACATTATGCATTACTGTATTATAAAATGAATAAATCTTAAAATTTATTCCTTTACACTAAAAAATGATAAAAGATGAACTCATCAATTCATTAACTGATTTACAATAAATTTTCTAATAAATTCAAAAATTTAGAAAAATAACACAAATTACAAAATAAGTATTACCATGAATAAAAATTTTTTCTGCTATGGATAAATGTAACATAGCTTTTGTTCAATGTTATTATTGAAAACAAGTCGAAAATATCCAAAAAATATTTCAAATTTAATTAAGATTCTAGTTTGTAGGTGGTAAAAGTATTAAAGTTCTCATGAGGATTGAAAGAATATTGTTGCAACTAACGTACTCTGAATAATTCAATGTAAATAATTTATAATTATATATTAATGCTTTACAGTGGATTAGTTACAACAACTGTTAATTGATACAAATAGAAAAAAGATATGTGAATGCTCAGGTGGTGGGAAATCTGCACCAAAGTAAAAAACCAATAAGGAAAATGCTTGTTTTTCATTTGATTTCAGCATTAACTGAAGCAGTAGACAAAATTAGGAGTTAGAAGATATCTTATTTAAGAAGTGAAAAAATGCAATAAAAATTGAAAAACGTATTGAAAAAACAAACATTGTCACATTTAACCACAGATAAAATTTTGTTACTTTGATTTTAACTAAAAGTAGGTCTGTGATTGATATTGTGATAATCCGAATTTTAATAAAAATCAATCTTCGATATCGTCATACTTGCTCAACAATTGTTGTCCTCAGCTACCTGATAAAATCTCCCCTTATACTTTCTTGACAGCAAAAGCAACGCATTCCTGTGATCTGCTGACCTTAGTCAGGCAATATCGCACTGATATCGGAATTGACGGCCAAAAAAGTCAGTCGTTGCCAGTCACTCTTGGATTAAAGTCATCAAAAATTTTCCTGTGTCAGTGCCAATCATACTCAGTTGGATTTTCACGTTACTTTCCACTGTGCTAAAACTTTCTTGATCCAGACCAGTCCAACGATCCAAATCCTCACCCTCAAGATCCTAATCTCAAATCAAGAATTATCACCATCAACGCAGGTATTTCCCGACTCATGAACAATTGTAAACTCTCTCTCTTGTGATTGCTAGCTAGATAGGTTAATTTGATATATTGTATCATGTATTCCTCTTCGTTGAAAATAAACAGATATTTAGTTGTTAACTTTTGTATCTGAGTATTTTACTTCCAGTATGCTGTCTCTCAACCCAAATTTAGATCCCAGATCCAATTGCCCACACACATGGCCACTCATGTGACTGAATCAACATGCCGTCTCGGCTTCTGTGTCAATCAGGACATGGTGGTGTCAGTCCTGACAGGGCATCGAAGAGGTGTTGACCCTCCAGTCACAATATGTTGGCCAGTCAAGTAATACTAAAGTATGCCGCAATCTTCACATGAATTTTTAACAGCACTACAAAACCCAAAGAAGGTTGAAAACCATTGCCCATATATTATTATTGCATTATTAACATTGCATTTAGATATTTTTACCTTGATCAATAGTGAGGACATTTCTAGTTTTCATTATTAAATATTTATCTAGAGGGAGTCTTGCATGACTTGATCCTTTTTCCACTGCTAATTTATGGCAAATGCCCTACAAATATAAAATTTTTATTAATAATACAAAATAATAATTTATAAATAAAATAATTTAATATGATTGTCTCTCTTAAATAAATAAATAAATATTTTATTTTAATAAGAAGAATGTCTTCATTTGATATTCTTCACACTAAAATGAAATAATAATTAATAAATTATTGTTCATAGTAAATTAAAATATTTTTGATAAAGAAAATAATCATGGTTATACAAGAAAACTACTACTAGTTATATGAGATTTAAAAAAAATTAGACGATTCATTTTGAGCTTTTAACACTTCTCGTTAATCTATGATGTGATTCAAACTATAATAAATCAATTTAAAATATTAAAAATTTAAGACAGTCTGTTAAAATAGGAATCACCATTTATTCAATTTCAAAGTTCTGGAATACATTTTTGACGGCCAATCTTTCTACAAGATATAATAAATCGGATTTGTGATCAAATTTGAATAAGTAAATCAAGATCATTTACTTTTTAGTGAATGTAAACAATCAATTGTTGATAGATACATAAGTCAACTGCCAAATGATAAATTCGAATTTTTAGTTATACATACTAATACAGCAGTGGCGTGCCGTCATTAGAAGCGTTGGAAGCGCCGCTTCCCTCGTATTCTCTAAAAAATAAATAAATATTAATTTTAATTATATGAAAATAATTGCACAATATTTTATTATAACCGCATTATGTATCTTATTACAAATTTCTATACTACACGTGGAAAAAAAATTGCTATTGTATATTAGAATATTAGTGGCGGAGTGGAATCTCCTGTATTTTCAGATTACGAAAAGCCAGATTTGCGCATGCGCTTTACAGAGCACCAACCTCACCCGGTTTAGCCGGTGGAAGCCTACGACCTTGGGTGAAAGCTGCACACATATAAAGATTCCAATTCTATCAAGGACCGGTTCTGGGCTGTTAGCCGCCTGCCCACTAGATATTTCGATTACGTGAATAACGAGTAGATTTATAACTTAACCCAACCGATAAGAATTTACTGGTATGTTTTTACGATAGTTCTGTATAGTTGACAGGAGTTAAAAAAATCCATTAAAATATTTGATATATTTATTCCGCTCTCCGATTTTATATTACTCACGGATTTCGATGTTAAACCAGTGATATTACGATTTCGTACATCCCATCTTTAAGGGGATGTAGAAAAAAACGTGTACAATTCTTGTATAATGTTAAAAAATTAACCGTTACTTCGACAGCGTCATTTACAACTAAATTTAATGAATGAGAGAGATGCACCAGGTACAGAAAAGGCTCTAGAATTTATTTTCCTTAAATTTACGATTTATGTATCCGTTTGTCATAAAAATTTGTCTTTCCACTTTTTTCCCGAGACTACAAATATTCGAGTACAAAGTAACTGGTTTCGACTTATTTCTACTTAAGAAGTAGTTAAATAATTAAGCGATTAGGGAATTGGGGACATAAACAAAACCCTGATGAAAGAGCCGGAATATTACTTAAACAAAAGCTTAACCGAACCAATCTATAGCCGAGTACAGTGGGGACTGATTTCTTCGAAATACTGTATTAGATGTAATAAAGACAGAAATTTTTCCAGTTCGACGAGAGTGACCGAAAAGTTGTAAATTTTGGAAATTTCCGTGGACAACACCTGGTCCTAAAACGAATTAGTTAGAAAACAAATGACGGACAATCTATTAAGTTTAACATATTTAGATTTTTACAGCTATGGTGAGAAACGTTTAAAATTTACAACAACCCTGTCGCGTCTTTTGAGGTATACTAGTGATGCGACAAAAGAAACATTTGACATTGCCAAATCCCGAGGGTATCGGCACCCTCGGGATTTGGCAGCCCGCGTGCATGTACAGTACACACCGCACACCTAGCAGGACCGTCTCTGATTCCACTCGTAGGGAGCTATTTGACTAAGTGGTTAAGATTTAAAGAGTAAAGAATATTTTATGTTATTTTCATGTACGTTTCATTACAAAGTTATATTTAATTATAATTTTCTTTAAAAGTATATTCATACAATTGAAGAATATTTTGTACCAGGTATGTATATCCACCACACATTTTATTTCACCAAGTAAGTTTTTATAATTTTATTTTTAATTTTAGCCCTTATATCGTGGCTAGCGATTCGGAATGTAATTGCGATATTGAAAATTTATTTTAAAAAAGTTTTGGCTCGAGATCATATAATGAAAAAGAAAACATTATTAAAAGAGAAAGGCCAATGCCTAAGTTAAATATAAACACTTCAATAAAAAAATTTGTTCGACATTTTCACGATAAAATGGCTCTGTAAATGCATAAAAATGCAAAAATTGTTTTGTTGGCTTGCCTACTATTTTCAAATGAAATTAGTGTGTGGAATAAGAATGGCTTTGACAATTTAGCTGGCAAAAGACACGAAAAATCGTCGATTCTTTCGTATTTGAAGCAATTTGGAAATCGAAGCGGAATAGAATTTAACATTAGTAAATAATATAAAATAAATATTGAAAATTGTAACGAGATAATTATGGGTAATAGATATATTATATCTGAATAAATAGATGTTATATGTTTTTATCAAAGCAAGAATTGGCATTTAGAGGGCATATGAAATATATTGGATCTAATAACAGGTAATTATAATGAACTTGTTTATTAAGTACGTCAGATAAATAATCTATTAAAAATACATTTAAAGAAAGAATTAACTGATTGCCCCTGGATGTCGACATCCAGGGGCAATCAGTAGAAACACAGCTTCCCTATCATCAAATGTCACGGCACGCCCCTGTAATACAGTAGAACCCAATTAAGAAGTTTTTCAAGGGATCAATTTAAAAAACTTCTTAAGGAAAAATGAAAATAATATAGCTTTTTTTATAATTCATATTTCTTTAACAATGATCTACTACATTACAATGAATTAGGCTTATACAGTATTTATTTATTTATATATTTGTCTAACAGCCTCTTACAAAAAAATTTGTTTTATGATTTGTACAAACAAAATCACAGATATACAATTTTCATAATAAACTTCATTGAAAATTTACAATATCATCTGCAAAATGTTAGAACTTTCTAGAACTTGCTGTTTGTTGCAAGCATTGTTGCCAGATATTGTGTAAAAAATTGTAAAATCTGTGTTCAAAGTAGTCCAAAGTTGTTTGTGAAATGATACAATTTTGTGTATTTCCTAAAGTAATTTTTTTCCTTTTCCATACACAATTAAATGTATAAAATTTTTAATTGGATGCAGTTGAAAAACTTCTTAAGTGAGTCCATTTTCTGGTTATGGTCAAAAATTTCAGTCTACTTAAGCAGGAAAATTTCTTAAATGGGAACATTTTATACAGAAAAATTTACATAACTCTCATGGAAAAATAACTGGGACCTTTGAAATTAAACTTCTTACATGGGAAAACTTAACTGAGCCCTACTGCATACATCTGACTGAGATAATCCAGTCTAGTAATTACAGTGGAACCTGGTTAACTTGAATTGGTCAGGGGGGAAAAAATTCAAACTTTGAGTAAAAAGTTTCAAATTATAGAGGTTCATCTAAAATCAAGACTTTGTGCATTAATTCATTGGTGATTCATAATAAACAATCTGTATGATATTTCAATGGGTCTTATTACATACAATCATTGTGTTAATGTAAACTTCTCGGTGTTGTCCAGAAACTTGAAAATGCTTAACCACATGGTTAATAAGCTACTGAGAAATGCTTTCCCAAATTGTTGATCTGTTCACTCCTAAGTGTTCAGTAAGGAGTTTTTAAATTGCAATATTTTGCACCTAGAATCAATCTGCTTTTTATTTTTTATCACAAACATACCATTCTTTATGATTGTTATATTTCTAAAATTTTTCTGCAAAGGTTAAAATTTTTACATAAATTCAAACTACAAAAATCCATTTATTTATTACCTCATCTAGTTGGAGATCCTTCAGTAATCAAATAAAAAAAGTTGTCCGAAAAAAGCAGGTTCAAATGGTAGTTACAGTATCTAGGTCACATGCATCCTGTCTGCTGTCACATGACATGATGTTTACTTTTAGTCATACATGGTTTTCATGCTTTATAGAAATTTATTTATTTATTTATTTGATAGATGAATGTTAATTATGACTTTAAGTAACCAAAACTTTGAGTTAACCAAGTTCCATTGTATTATAGTGCAGAATTTCTGAGAAAGAGTTTTATATCTCTCAGAAATGTCTGATATCAATTATTAATAATAATAGTTCAGTTGATATAATAATGGTATGAATATCCAAAAGTTGATTCAAATTTATCACTTTTTCTTATATAATATATAATTTCAATAGTTTGGTTATTTAGTTACATCTGATTTATAGGCTATTTCTTAAATCTTGACTTATCTAAAGCTATTTGATTATTCCTTATATTTTGGATTAATTTAAGGTTTTTAAACATTAATTACAAAATCTGAAATTTTAATTAGAATATATATCATCATTATAAATTTTTCTTTTTATAAATTTGTCAATTTAGATCATTCTTAGTATTATTATACTGTATATATATATATACAGTAAANAAATATTGGGCTGCTGTTCTGCCCTTTTCCTCGCGGTTGTAGCACCAGTCAACTCGCACGAACAAATATTGTCGCGTCATTCTTCTATGTCCTATGTATCTTAGCCCTGCTTCGATAATTCGTGTCGCAACGAACGTCGCTACCTACGCTACGTCACGTTATTACCTTCCTCATTGTACTACGTTTTTGCCGCTACTGCTCGTCAGTCATAACTGTAATTAGTGTTTTCAATTGTCACCTTGTAAACCTACCTGTTTCAACTACTATTGTCGCGCTATTCAACTGTTACCTGTCAACACTGTACCTTATTGTATGCGCTTTTTGTTTCAATACCTCAATGTATTGTCTTTATTTTGATAAAGACCGATGCATGGCGCTCATGGGGTCCCTTGACCCTTGGTTAACTACTTTCCTTCTTTCCTATCATACTTTAAATTCTCCTTCCCTATAACCTCTTCACAATAAACTATACTCTCTTCCTCCTCTTCATGTCTAAAATGGGCTATACCTACGAGTTCGGCCTCGTTTTCTTTCTTAGCACTGTACTTTGTATCAATGATTATTTTGGAAGAATTAAATTATCATATTAGAAAGAAGAACTTATAAATAAAGCCTAATCCAAGAGAATAATAATATAAAATTACAAAAATGGAATAATGCAATCATCCATTTACATAATTGTGAAATGCTTTTTAAATTTTTTTCACCAATTAAGAATATGATTAAATTAAATGGAATGATCTGGAATAATTAATACATTTTCTTTGTCTAAAAATGATGATTCTATTACAAATAAGTTATATTAAGACAGAATTGTTAATAAATACATCTAAACAACAAAAAACTAAAGAATAATTAATATATTTAAACAAAATAAGCAAACAAAGAATTGTTCTTTTATTCTAAAATTTGATAAGATTTAGTCCTTGTACATAATGTTGAATTAAACTGATAAATGTTTTTAATCAATATTTGAAACTATTTTTATAGACAGTATAATAATACTAAATAATCTACTAAATAATTGGTGTATATATATATACACCAATTATTTAGTAGATTATTTAGTATTATTATACTGTCTATAAAAATAGTTTCAAATATTGATTAAAAACATTTATCAGTTTAATTCAACATTATGTACAAGGACTAAATCTTATCAAATTTTAGAATAAAAGAACAATTCTTTGTTTGCTTATTTTGTTTAAATATATTAATTATTCTTTAGTTTTTTGTTGTTTAGATGTATTTATTAACAATTCTGTCTTAATATAACTTATTTGTAATAGAATCATCATTTTTAGACAAAGAAAATGTATTAATTATTCCAGATCATTCCATTTAATTTAATCATATTCTTAATTGGTGAAAAAAATTTAAAAAGCATTTCACAATTATGTAAATGGATGATTGCATTATTCCATTTTTGTAATTTTATATTATTATTCTCTTGGATTAGGCTTTATTTATAAGTTCTTCTTTCTAATATGATAATTTAATTCTTCCAAAATAATCATTGATACAAAGTACAGTAATTTAAAAATTATGTTTCTGTATTTATGATTAAATCTTACAAACATCATATTTTGTATTCAGTATATTTAAAATAAAGTTAGCACAAATAATATAAATTAGTCACAATTATGAATGTTGTTTTTCCATTATTACTGTAGAAATTTTATGTATTTTATTACTCATTAATGTGAGGACAAGGATTTCTTTAAAAAAGCAGAAATCTGCAGGAGGGTGCACAGGCAGATGAGAGTAGGAAAAAGGAATGTGAGGAAGGAGAGTCATAGCAAAGAAATGAAGACACAAGAAAGAAAAGTATTTGAAAGTTATCAATCTTTTACCATCTACTTCTTTTGTTTTATTGTTGTGATCCCACATTTATGGGGCTTGTCTGGGATTAAACAGAAAAGGTTTCTACTATAATTCTAACCACTATAATTTTTTCAGGACTTCACAATAACATTCAATGTTTATTGTTTCTCTAAACTACAACCATGCAAGGTTGGATCTGTATGTTGGCAGAAGACTTCTTTGATGAGAGTTTGTAAAAGTTTATCTGCACTATGACAAAGTCTGAACTTTAAAGGTGAACAAGATGAAAAATAGCTATAACTATATATTTTCCTATGATACTAAATGTAAGTTTAAAATAAGTTTCTATCTCTTTCTAGCCAAACTGGAACTTAATTTCTTGACATGTCTCATATAAATAATTTATCACTTAGTTACATTTTACTTGTTTAAAGAAAGAGATCTGATATTACAGAAAACAGAATAAATATAATTACCAAATTTCTAATATCTTCACTTTCAAAATTTGCTTACAAACAATTTTTCTAAATATAAAATACTATATGAAATGCTTACAAAGATAAAATAATGACATGGAAAGACAATCATACTCTAAATTTCATTCCAGATTTTAAAAATAAGATTGAAATTGTCTATGAGTTCATTTATCTAAATTAATCTCCATTTATTTTAAAAGATTTTAAAAATTTTAATTCATTTTTAATTTTCAAAATAATTTAATTATTTTAAATTTAACAATTTAGTAAACATTTTTATGTCAATAACATTGCAATTGTGTTTACATCAATGTATACTTTGGAAATAATCAAATAAATTAAACAACATATAATTAATAAATGAAAATAAAAATATCCTTTTCATTACAGCACAAAAAAAGTCTAAAAATAAAAATTTAAAAATGGTTGACCTCATAAATAAGCAATTAAAGTTTTCATTTTTATTTATTATTATAAGTCTCAGTTACAAATTTTAGTAATTTTGAAATTATAAGGTGTTAAGTGTTTTATTAAGTGTTTTAAAAGGAAGCTGAGTTTGATATTCAATTAATTTGAAATTATAACAAAAATTTAACATTTAAATTAGAAGAAGTAATAATTAAATCTTTGATATATGTTAAATCAAAAATTTATCAATAATAAAATTCAAGTATTCAAAATTTATTCACCTTATGCCTATTATGATCAACCAAACCTCCTATTATATAGGTTTTAGATTCTTCTAAGGTATCTACTACATTATCAGATTCACTTGTCAAATAAACAGTATTATTCACTCCAAATACATCCAAATAATTTTCTTCTTTATAATATACCTATTATATATTTTAAACAAAACTTAATAAATTATGCTATTAAAATTTTAAATATATAGATTAAAGTTACATTCATCATATATGAAAATATAATTTCATTTCATTTTCAATTTTATAGAAAATTAATTTGGCTAATGTAAGATCATAATGATTTAATAATATTTCTAATTTTCCATTATAATATTTTACAATATTAAAAATGTCTTTTAGTATGACTTAATTCAATAATTAATTTGCACATTAATCAAATCCTGCATTAAGCAATGATTTGATTAATGTGCAAAATTAATTGTGGCAAAAGTTTTAATTAATGCAGCTTTAACAGATCTCTTTACTTAACATAGATATGTTTTTCTCAGCAAATACGGTGTTAGTGAATTTGCCATTTTTGTTTATTAAAATAAACAGCATATACACTGTATTTGATTAATGCAATTTTGATATACATAGTAGTATTGAGGGATTAATTAACCATGTTAATCAAGGGATACATGTATTTTAAATTTTATGTTAGTTTAATTAATATATAATGGATTTCTACATTACAGAGTTTAAAAAATAAAGCAAAAGGTAATATCACCTTTAGTTTTGATCAAATTCATTATTATTTTAAATTAAATTTATTATTAATAAAACTACTGTAATTATTAGTTAATGTTAGTATAAGATAGCAATCTAACTGCCTACTTTTAGAAAAAATTATTTCATATTAATTATTAATAATTAGCCAAACTACTATCTGAATAATCTAGAAATTAAAATGATTATTATAGAATGGGGATGGTGAACCTTTTTAAGTCACCTTTATGGTAAGCATATTTATCTTTAAAAATGTTAATGCATGTTGAAGTTTTAAACTTTGAGTAATGATTTTTAAAGAAATGAAATGAATATTTTAATTAGAATATATGTAAAGAAGCTGATTGAAAAAATGATGATGAATTACTGAACTGAATATAAAAGTATAATAAAATGCTAAAATTAAGATAAACTAAAAGTTAACAGTAAAAAAATAAATATAGTGTTGTATTGTATTGTATAGCAAGTTGCATGCTAAATAATTTCTCTTGATGTCACACTTTGGACATACATATCCTAGGTTCACCATCCTAATTATAGAATATTTGCACTTAGTTGTTATTTATACATTGACTTGCTAATTGAAAAAAAACAGAAAAAGAAATATTTTAATTTTTGAGATGGTAACTTATAATCTAATTTCATATTGGCAATTATCTTGCTTTCAAAGGCCATCCTAGAGGCAGGATAAATGATTGTGCAAGTTATATAAAGGTTTAATTTTTACTCTTACAATTTTCTGCAGTGTATATGCTGTCATGGGTTATAAAATTTGCTAAAAATTATCTGCCCAAAATTATGTAATTAAAAATTCAACTTTTTTTTTTCCAATTTAAAATTGAAATAATTCTAATCATTAAATTTTGTTGTTAAAGTTTTAGATGTAAATAAAGAATAAGAAACACTCACATCCCAGTTAAGGCAGCCCGCATTAACAGTCATCCGTTGTTTCACCACATTGTCCACACTAGTGATGTATAACTACCAAAATAAATAAAAAAGAAATATGAAACTAATTATATAAAATCCTTCAATACTAATCTTTTTAATGAAAATTAATTTAATAGAAAAAGTCTACTTTTTTAGAAGTATATTATCTTAAACTTTCTCATTCATTTATGTTACATTTATAATTCTGTATTTCTTGTAATAATTTTCCATGTAAATATTTTTCTTGTAATAATTTCCCATTTAACCTATAATCTATATTGTGAGGTAAAATGCATTGGTTGAATTAAATATTGATATATTAGTGGTATTCAATATTATTGAATAATTGATATTGATATATTTTCCAATATCAAAATAAAAAAATGAGTACTGGCTAATATTGTTATCAATGTTTGATATTACTAATATTGGGAATTATAGAAACTTATGAAGTTAATTTTGGTAATTAAAGTACTTTATTCAAATTATTTTTTATATATCTGTCATGATATTCTGATTTAACTATTTTTGTTTTTATATTAGTTATTATATTAGTTTTATGTCTCTTTTGGAATCATACTTTTTTCCTTCTTATAATGTCAATATTCTTTTATTCCAATAATTGTTCCCACCAAAAAGTACAACTGATTATTACAAGAAATATGGTGGTAATAACAACAACAACAACTCTCCCACGATCACCACCTGATCAATAAAATTACTGGGAGAGCCCAGTAATTTTATTGATCCATAGGGCAATGCAAATTGGAGTACAAGCTCCTGGTAGGGACACCCATGCCAGTAAGGTCTATGGGGAGAAATGAAGCTAAGAGTGACCACACCCACATTCTGTAGAGATATTTATCATGGTAGTAACCAGATCTAAGTTTGTTAATGGCTTGGACATCACCTGGGTTAACAAGGTCCATGTGCATGGGTTAGGCAGAGGCTCATGTTCGAAAAATATGCCACAGTCTCCTTTGGTTGCACATTGCAGTAGCCCAAGCTTGGCTACTGCAATGTGCAATGCAACAGAAGTGAGGAAACAGCAAACAGCACAGCCAGAGCCGGCCCTACCATAGGGTGAACGGAGCAGTTGCTCCAGGTGCTAAGTCCTAGGGGGCGCCTCAGTGGTAGAGAAAATTATAGGGTATATTAATAAATTAGGGGCAACCAAGGGGGGCGCCATAATGGGATCTCGCTCCATCCTAAAACTTGCGTCGGGCCAGCACTGAGCACAGCTGATAATGAAGATTAAAGTTGTTAGCATACAAATATCATATGAATTACAAAGCATATAAAGTTATGCTAATATTAGCAAGGGGACACTGCCTGACTCTTGTGGCTGTTGGTGTGAAACTTTTTGCTCTCTTGTGATTTGACTCATTTTTGCTTTCTTGAAAAATGTCAGTTTCAGGCTCATAAAAGAAAAACTTTTTCACCACCAGGAAATGTAAAAAATCAAATTGGAAGTGAGGAAAATGTCTCAGGTGAGTCAATAGAACAGTTGATCTTGTCTTATATAAGTGCCAAAAAGGAGATTAGCATTGAATAAGGAATTAGACTTTTGTTGAAAGTACATGCTTCTTCAAATAGTAAACTACAAGTACTTTTTGAACATTTAGATAAAATGCAAGCATGGAATGAGAATGTAGATACAGAATTGGTAGATGCTGAAACTAGACTCTCTGCTCTTGAAGCTGTTAGAGAAAAAGGTTGTGTTAAAAAATGGCAAATCAAATACAGAAATAAATATAACATGCAATAATTTGCATAAAAAGTTAATGAGATTAGAAGATAAAGAAAGAAGGAATAACATTGTAATATGAGGCTTAGGGGATAATGATAAAATGGATGATGGTTTAGTTAATGTTCAAAAACTTTTAATGATACTTTAAAGATTACAGATGTCAATATTAAATGTGCTTTTAGAGTTTGAAAATTTAAACCGAATACAAAGAGACTAATTATTTGTGAGTTGTTTAATTTCAAAGATAAATTAAAAATTTATAAAATATTAGTAATTTAAAAGGTTCAAATATATTTATTAATGATAATTACTTAATGAATACCAGAACTATCAGAAGCAAATTAAGGCTATACAGTAAAGAAATGTATTTAAAAGTAGCCAAGATTGTTAAATTGAGATAAAACAGGTTAATTATAGATGATAAGATATTTGCCTGTAATTACAATGGTGAAATCCAGACAGACAGAGAACAATGATTTTTAGGAATACAGTTTATAATAACAAACAAGATAATAACATAAACGACATGAATGACCGATTTGAAGTCTGGTATTTGAATATAGATGATAATATGAAACTTCTTTTTTATAATATTGCAGGTTTATATAATAAATATCATTTTCCTAATTTCTGGAAGTTTATATATAATATGGATAATTTATGTCTGGTGGAAACATGGCATACATCTTTGATAAATGAATCAATTTTCTCTGATGATAAAATTTATCATCAAATATCTCATAGTGGTGGGGGACCTGGAAGATCCAATGGAGGTTTAATCATCGGACTCAGATCAGATGCAATCTCTAAGGCTAAAGTGACATTTCAGACACAATTTATAATGATTTTAAAACTAGACACTAAGGAGTTAACTAATATCCAGAGTCCTATATCCCACCTGACAATAATTATGATGATGATTTCAAAAATACTTTGTTGCTTATAGAAAACTACTTACTATATAGCATATAATAAATTATAAATTGTGTTCAACAATGGATAATTCTACATATAATTGGTCATTCACATTGAAAAATTTGCTAGATTGACATGGTTTCTCTTTCCTATGGTTGTCTAAAGATCTTCATTTGATCGGAAGCTATCAAACATTAATATTAAAAGAGTGTGCTATGAACAAACTATACAAGAAGATGGGTCTTTGTGGAAAAAAACAAACATTTTCAATTTTATCATAGTACTAGCAGACCCCACCACGCGTTGTTGTGGCTCAAAATGTATCTATAATAAATGTATAACACTTCCCCCGTGGGGGGAAATTTTTCAAAAAATTTCTTGTTAGTGTACATTCTCTTGACGTACCCTATTAAAACGCAATCAAAAACGCAAAAACCCGCATCTAAAATAATATAATAGAAGCCAAGTTTTTCACAGTAAGCCTTAATCCTGTCCCTCTCCCCCGCGGGGGAATGTCGAAAAATCCCTTCTTTGTGTACATTGTGTTGACGTACCCTATTAAAACGCAATCAAAAACGCAAAAACCCGCATCTAAAATAGTNACAGTAAAAATAAAAAATTTTAAAAATGTCTTAGATTGGTCACTCGATGTGATATACTCCTACGTAACTATATAACTACCTTTAACGTTATATAACTGCCTTTGTAGTTATATAAATCAAATACTACAATATAACGAACACTAAAGCGAAAAGCATAAAATGTGTTTGGTTATATCAGCCTTCCATTGTTACGTTTATCGCGGTACTTGAAAGATACGCAATAATACAAGTTCATCCATCAAGTAGTAAGCAATTAAATCAGCCATATAATATCTTAAAATATTTAAGATATCATTTTTTCCTTAATATTAACTCTAAGGAACTGTACCATTCGCAGCCGAATATTAAAACAGTAGAGCGTTGTTTATCCGAAGGTCGGTTATCCGAAGGAATTCCAGTCGACAAATTTAAATTTTCGCCAGTGCTGTGGCGCTGTAATCTTTGGCTATGTCTTCGGCTACTCAAATATTTTACGTTTTTGATACTAAATTAACTTCTGAAGTATAATTTTTTATTGTTTTTATATTTTTCAATATATTTATTTTGTTCGTACAAAATAAAAAAATAATTTTTAACGATACAATAGTCTTCGTTAGGCTTAACATCGACGAAAATTCAACGCGAAGCAACACGCAATGGAGAAAAATGTCAAGATGGGATAAATTAATATATTTTTTCGTACATAATCGGTTATCTGAAACATTGATCTTCCGAACAGCCCCAGTCCCCAATTGATTCGGATAATCGACACTCTACTGTAATATAATATTCCATCTGCATTTAAATTTTTATATCATTAAATACTTTAATAAATCCCATTTTAATCTGAAAATTTTGGCAAAATTAATACTTACTATTTTGAAATTTTCATTATTTTTACTTTCTCAGCTGTTATACTGTATATAACAGAAGAAAAGTGTGGTGATTCATCAAGAAATGACCCTCCCAAAATTTTTATGATTTTGGACTTGGGACCTTGAAACATCAAGAAATGCAAAACAAATTCAGGGTTTTTTCTATATGTATGGATGTTAGTGTAAATAAGAGGCATGATTTTGTTCACCCTCTTTGAAGCTTAGTAATTCCTCTACTTTTTGTCAAAAATTTCTGATATTTTTCAGAGAAGTTTATGTATTAAAGAGATTGATGACAGTTAAAAGTTGAGAAGGTGGGGACATAGAAAAATCGTGTGTCATATCTCTAGCGGAGTTGGGCTTAATAAAGATTTTACTTGTTATTAGCATTTACAATTTTTTATAAAACTTATCCCTACCCTGAAAATTAAGCTTTTTGCCATTTTATAATAATTAATTATATTAAAAGTTTTTTAAATAAAATATCATAAATTGTGATGCCACACATAATTTTAAATGTGAAAAAGTTGAGCAAGTTATTGCTGGAATTTTTTATTGAACTTCCTATTAAGAAATAAAGTTACAAGAAATCAGGTCAGAATAAAAAAGTTAAAAAAATAATCATTGTTTTGGCTGATTATAATCCAATAGTACACTCTTTTTTTAATCCATGTATACATTTCAACATATAACCTCAAACAGTCACTTCCATCTTTTTTGTTTCATTTTTTAATGAAACAGAAAAGTTTTTGAATAATCAAATTAATATAGTAAAATGGCAAGAATTTAAAAAAAAAAATTATTAAAAGTAGAAAGTGTTCAAATATTGTAGATTGAAATCTCAAATTTTTTATTATAAAATGAATATCTTACCTGTAAAGGAGATGATGATCTGCGATTAAGATAGTAGCATCGATGCAACTGCTTTAATGTCTTTGACATTTCCTGTAAAAATGTTTTCTATATAAAAATTGTTGATACATATATCAAAAAATTAATATTTTCAAATTTATAAGACATACATGATGATTAGTACATTTGTTATTATTGATTCACTACAATAATTCATATATAGTGTAAGTTGTAGTACTATGTCAATCAGGCCACATCCACATATTTAGGTGGAAGGGTTAATCTTTCTATGGAGGATTTAGGATGATGTTGTTTATGTTTAGTAAGTGTTGTTCTTGTTTTCCTTTGGAGTTGCTCAAGATCTGTGTGAGTCCAATGTATAACGCCAAAAGAGTATGTGAGTACTGTGATGACATATGTGTTTATTGCTTTAACTGTGTTTTGAGAATGGCATTTAACCTACTTTGGTATTATTTAATTAATCTTTGCTTTATTTGTGTATGTTCTGTTAGCTTGGCCTGTTGGAATCCTAAATACTTGTAGAACTCGCCCTCTTCCATGGATTCAATAACGTCTCCATTTTCAAGTGCAAAATATTCTTTCTTCAGGATTCCTTTTTCTATGTGATGTGTTTTGCATTTGTCTAAGCCAAACTCCATTTGTATGTCCTTGGTGTATGAATGTATGATTTGTAGAAGTTGATGAAGTTGTTTTTGTGTGGATGCATAGAGTTTTATGTCATCCATGTATATGAGACGTGACAGTAAAAACTGTGTTGTTTTTTCATGTCTGATATTGTAGCCATATTGCGTGTTGTTTAACATATTGGATAATGGATTCAGGGTTAGGCAGAACCAGAAAGGACTCAAGGAATCTCCTTGAAAAATTCCTCACCTGATGAATATTTCGTTTGTTTGTATGGAAGTGTTAATAATCCTGAGATGTAGTGTTGTTCTTTTGGAAGAATGCAATGAGTGATGGATGTATTTTGTACATGTGTAGAATATGTAGCAGCCAACTGTGTGGAACACTGTTTCTGTAGTCTATATATGCCATGTGTATGTTTCTGTGTTGTTTGTGTGCTTGCCTAGAATGACTGAATCTATGAGTAACTGTTCTTTGCATCCCCAGTTATTTCTATGGCAACCTTTTTGTTGTTCCGTAAGAATGTCATGTTCTTCAACATGTTTGTATATTTTGTTTGTGATACAGGATGTCAATAATTTGTAGAGTGTTGGAAGACATGTAATTGGTCTGTATTGTGTGGGGTCTGTGGTGTTGTTGTTTTTAGGTTTCACATAGGTGATGCCCTGAGTAAAAAATTTTAGCATGTCTTGTGGATTGATGATGATGTATGTTAGATGTTTGGTTAGTTCCTGATGCAGTGATGTAAATTTTTTGTACCAGAAATTGTGAATGTTGTCTACACCAAGTGTCTTCCAGTTGTGTGTTCTGTTAACAGCGTAACAGCAGATTTATAGCTTGACTAGCTGTTATCCGTGACTCCACCCATGCGGATTTTGCAAGCAAACCCCATTTATATTCAGTATTTCAACAATCATAGTAATTGTTATATAACACCTACCACTGAGAATGATGAGAATTGCTGAGAATCAAATGAACTGTTTTCAATTTGATCAATTTTCTGGAACGTTTGCAATCATTCTATAATTGAACCAATATGCAATAACAAATTTGAGTTTAAAATGGTTCGAACATTTGGTTAAAAAATTGAAATATATAAAAATATTTATAACAATGTCTAAAATGTTATCAATTTAATATACCTAAGTACTCAGTGACAACTAAATGTAGTTGAAAACAAAAAATTACATCTAAAATAGTACAGAAGCCATTCTTCAGGTTAAGCCTTAATCCTCCCTCTCAAAAAATCCCTTCTTAGTGTGCATTCATATGGTGTACCCTAACTGTGTACCAAATTTCAACTCTTTAGGTTCAGCGGTTTGCTCTGGGTGATGATGAATCAATCACTCAGTGAGTCAGTCAGGACAAGTAATTTTATATATTTATTTGGTTCTTGACACCAAAACATTATAAAAAGTTCATATGAAAATGGGTCCAAAAATTCTTTGTTAGGGATTTACAAAAATTTATTGAAGTGACCTCCTCCTGCTTCAATGCATCCTGAGACTGCATTCTGTGCTTTGCCATACTCTGTTAAAAATTCCTGGAATATTGGTCAAAGCCATTTTGGACCAACTCTTGTACCTAATGTCAATGTTCTAAGGGAGTGTATCCAAAATGGCTTTGACCAAATTCGAAACACTCCAGGAATTTTCAACAGAGTACAGCAAAGCATGGAACACAGGCTCAGGGGATGTATCGAAGCAAGAGGAGGTCACTTTGAGAAATTTTTGTACATGTGAGGCATTTAACAACTATGTTGTTAAATGCCTCACATGTACAATTAGCAAAAAACTCTATAATTCCCTAACAAAGAATTTTCAAACCTATGTTCATATTAACTTTTTGTTTTAAAAAGCAAATGAGATTATTTTGAATTGTGTTTTTGATTTATATAAAGATAACAGTTTTTTTACTACCATACTTTTGGTTGCTACTGGCAAAAATTAGTATTTCTTAAGCTTTCACTGCTTTGTTAAAAGAAACTTCTCATTCTGATTCATTTTCATTTGATTCAAATAAAGATTTAGTTCCATATTTGAATCTGAATTTATATTTTCTACAATTAGCTTATCAATTATACTAGCATAGTCCTATGAACTCATTGAAAACTCATGATCAAGCTTTTCTTTTATATCACTGTCAATTTCAGCTGTAATTTTGTCAGGTGATAAATCTTCATTTCCTCCTTATTTTTCAGATATCTTTATGTTGGCTTTAATTTGATATGTTTCTAACAGTTTTTAATTATTAATTATATTCATTCCAGAATTTGATAGCATAATAATCAGCATCAAGCATACTGATCATTGGAATAGTAGTTGGATTTTTCTCAATTTCAGTTAGGCAAAGCTTTATAAATTTTTGTTGAGTGTTTCTTGAAAGCAGCAAATACTTCATTTAATGGTTGATGGACACTCATCATATTTGGTATTAGAAAACAAACTTTGATATGCTCTAACTTAAGGTCATTTATATTGTATAATGATGCATTGTCTACAAGAAGCAAAATCTAGCGTTCTAAACGTTATTTATTTATTTATTACAAAAATTACAATGGCAATACCTTAAGGCAATAGTGATAGACTATAAACCCAAAAAAAAAAATCTAGAAAAATTTTAGAATTACAATAAAAGTAGGTTAGTGATTACACAAGATTCTTTTGCAAATTATAATTCAAAATATATAGATAGATTGCACCTGACAAAAGGTTAAATTCATTTGTTGCTCACATTACAAGTTTTTCTGTGATTGAGATACAGTTCAGATATGTGTATCCCATGTAAATTTATTTACATGTAAGTAGAGAAAATGTTTAGTGGAATAAACAGAGGCAGCAATCCTGTAGAAAAAGGAATGCTGTGAAATATTTAGACTATATTACAGATGATCTACATATTTCCAATACATTCAATGATCACGTTCTTCAAGATCATTTGGAGGAGAAGCAAAATGCCAAAACTACTGTACAAGATAAAAGGAAAAGCAACATAGGTGTAAAAAAATTTTAATAAGTAATCATGAAAGTGAATTACAATGCTTGGTTCCAATGACGACGACTGTAATAGTGCTCAAAATAGTGATATGTTATATTGTATTTTTACTGTATTTTCCTTATTGATTGTATTTTTTCCATGTGTCTTATTATTTTTTTAAATAAATAATTATAATGTATGATAATTTAGAAAAACAATGGTAAATATTATTTAAACTAAAATAAAAAATTGTCCTCCCTAGCATGAGTCATGCCTGCTCATTTCAAAATATATAGATAGATTGCACCTGACAAAAGGTTAAATTCATTTGTTGCTCACATTACAAGTTTTTCTGTGATTGAGATACAGTTCAGATATGTGTATCCCATGTAAATTTATTTACATGTAAGTAGAGAAAATGTTTAGTGGAATAAACAGAGGCAGCAATCCTGTAGAAAAAGGAATGCTGTGAAATATTTAGACTATATTACAGATGATCTACATATTTCCAATACATTCAATGATCACGTTCTTCAAGATCATTTGGAGGAGAAGCAAAATGCCAAAACTACTGTACAAGATAAAAGGAAAAGCAACATAGGTGTAAAAAAATTTTAATAAGTAATCATGAAAGTGAATTACAATGCTTGGTTCCAATGACGATGACTGTAATAGTGCTCAAAATAGTGATATGTTATATTGTATTTTTACTGTATTTTCCTTATTGATTGTATTTTTTCCATGTGTCTTATTATTTTTTTAAATAAATAATTATAATGTATGATAATTTAGAAAAACAATGGTAAATATTATTTAAACTAAAATAAAAAATTGTCCTCCCTAGCATGAGTCATGCCTGCTCATTTCAAAATATATAGATAGATTGCACCTGACAAAAGGTTAAATTCATTTGTTGCTCACATTACAAGTTTTTCTGTGATTGAGATACAGTTCAGATATGTGTATCCCATTTTTTTCCTTTCCATATCTGAAGTATAATAGCCTAAAAAGTATAAATTATAAAGACTATTTTACAATCACATATGCTAAAAATGTATTTAGAAACTTACTAAAAGAATACTAAAAATAAAGCCAATACTAATGAATATAATATTGACTGCTAACATCAAGTATAACTTTACATAATATTGTTTACTATAGGTAGGACTGATATTAGATGTTACATAGATGTGCTTTTAACATTACTGATTTTCATAGCATGTTCACTACAAAATATGTTAAATTGTAATATTCTAAAGAAACATCAAATATGTGAATATGTATAGGGCTTAAATTGGTGGCTTGCCATTTTGAGCAACTTAAGAGAGGATGTTACTTATACCAGTCTGATTGCATTATATCCATTTTGAAATTATAAAAGATTTAGTTAATATATAAAAAATATTTTTGACAGTTAAAACTAATTAAATATGAAGCAATTTCTAGTTTAAATTCACTGTTTATTAGTCATTGCTATAAGTAATTCAATGCTTGAAAAGCTTGAAGTAATTAACTAGCTAGTGGCATCTGATATGGGGATGCTATTGCAAGAGAATTTACAGAATGCAACACTGACAGAATCATTTTTATTCTGTATAATGTTTTGATCAGCACTGGTTTGGATTAATCTTAAGTTACAATTAATGTTTTTATGAAAACTTGGTCAATCAAAACATTATATGAAATAAAAATGATTCTATTAGTGTTGTGTCTTGCGACAGCATTCTCACATTAGATGACACAAGCAGTCACTGTTGCTAAATGAGTTCATTATCTGCTTTTACTATATATGATATATATGTTTATGAAATAGATATAATATAAATGTTAGCCAACAGATGAAAAGCCAACCAATATAATAAACTGTATAAATTTTTATAAAACTATCTGTTTTCAATAGAAAAAAAAAATATATATATATATATATATACCCTATGTGAAGAGACATCTACATATATATATATATAGGTAGATGTCTCTTTACATAGAGTATAGTCCTTCACATAAAGTGTATATATATATAGAAAGCAAAATAAACTCTGAAGTAATAGTCAAATATCTTCTTGACGTTTTTTAAAATTCTTACTTAATTAAATTAATTTCTACAAAAATATTTATGATAAAACAATGTAATTTATCTTTAGATAAAACAATATTATAAATTAATTAAAATTTTAGTCTAAAGAAAATTCTAACAATATTTCCATAATTTCAATTTTAAGAACCTTTCATAAACAATTGATTGATAAAATGTTTCTTACTATATATAAATAAATATACTATATTACTTAAAAGAATTTGTTATACAAAGATTAAATTTAATATAAAAATAATGAAATTTACTGCATCAGTCATCAAATGGTTTAAAGATAAATCTATTGCAACTTTGATTCGGCAAGTAGAAAATTCCATTTTTGCCATTTTTAGTTCTTTTCTATTTGGTCCTAGTTTTATTCCTTTTTCACGAGCTTCTTGTTGCTTACGTTTCCTTTTCTCTCTTTCTTTGGCTCTTGAAAAAAAACCAATAAAGTACAACATAGANGTATATATACATATATATATATATATATATATCAATATGTTATTTAGTACTACCTTCTTTCACTTTTCTGAGCTAACCATTTTTCTCTCTTTGCTATTTTCTTTTGTTGACGTTTTGAAAGTGTAGTTACTGTACTTTGTTGAGTCTGAATCACATTTATATCACAGTCTTTTTGATCCATTGATTCATTAGAAGAGTCCATAATATCTAATTGAAAAAAAATATATATATATTAATTGTTTATACAGAATCTAGACTTGCACCAAGCTATATCTTTCTTCTGTTATACATTAGTTAAATACAAATTCATGAAAGTATAGGACATATAGGTAATCAGTATTGGGCTTTCAATGACATAGTTGCCATGCACCCATGACCCTTCCTTTTCATGGAGCCAAAAACTATCTTAGCACCTATGAAAGCTAGCAGCACAGTTTAAATTACAGGGTCTCAAAATTATTAGAAAATGTTTTTTGTCTGGTTAAAATAAAATATTTAGTATAGTAATTTCAATATTTTGTGAACAAAAGTTAATAACCATTTATTTACAGTCTGCCAGATCTGATGGCCGAGCAGTCAAGGTGGCACCTATCGATCTGGAGGAACCCGGGACAGACAAGTCAAAAAATCCCCAGGAATTTTTCGAGGGGTGGCCCATCCAGATATGTTGGGCCCCGTCCCCCACCACCCGGCCGTACCATTGTGGGCTTGCTTAAAGAGGCCCTCTTAGTGCCCACAGGGTGGAGAATTAAAGAAAAAAATAAATAATAATAATCTGCCAGATACTGTGCATTAATTTAAATAAAAATATGACTTTTACTGAAGTAAATTTCAGTTTGATTTATTAAGAATTGCGTAAGAAACAATTTTTCTCCAGAAATTCAGTCTGAAGTTTTAAAAGAGAACAGATTACTAACGTTATGGATTATAACACTATATTTTTATTATTCTTTTATTATAGAGGAGAAGGTGGTATTATGGAATACTGCGGGTATTATGGAACCACCCCATTTCGAACTGACAATAAAGGCGAACTGTAGCGGAATGTGGCTGAACTGAACTAGGCAGACATCCATAGCAAGGGGAAAACCCGTTTTACTTCAGTTAAATGGTTGTCCGTATTTAATCAGCAAATTTGTTTTTTTCAAAATTCGCAAGTTTTGAATGCTAAGTGAATTTAATTATTTTTAAAATATAAATCGCGTAGTTGTAGGTTCACTGGTGCACGTATTTCGTTCCAGAGACTTAGGGGTACATATTAATCTGTGTGATGTTCACGTTTTTTAAATTTTGGTCTCGACAGACATAAGTTAATTCGAGATGGCGATGCGTGAAATACGGACCCCTTTGGTGCTTTTACAGTAATGAAGAACTCAACTCCTCCGAACTCTCTCTTTGCAATCAGACATTTGTCCGGAGCAATTTGGGAAAAAGACACTAGGTAGAAAGTCTGGAAATATCGAAAAAGAGCTGCTGGAATATATACTGTTGATGGAGGTCATATTTTTCTATTATAAAAGCATTTTTGCGATAAAATACATTGGAGTAAATAATTTTGTAATTATTTAACATTCTTTGTACATTCCTATTTGTTTTTGGCTACATTAAAGCATTTTTTTTAAAAATATACAGTAAGGTTCCATATTACCACCCGATTTTCTCTAAGCCTACTTTCGGACTTTTTGGACAAAAGCCTTCAAAAACCATACTTATAGTTACACTAGCGAAAAATCCAATTAGGAACATTTAGATTACTAGTTACCAGTACTTTTCGCACAAAAAATGTGGGTATAGTTATGATATCTTCTTTACGATTCACTAAAATGTAATTGGGGTTCCATACTACCACCTTCTCCTCTATGTTATACGACTCACTAAAGGCAAATTGGAAAAAGTATTTATATGTAGCAACTTCATATCTTACTTGTCCTTACTATCAGAAAGTAGTTTTGTTATGAAGAATATTCAACCAATTATTTTTATATTTTAAATCAGATAAAATGACAACGAAATTTCAAGTGACCACGTGTCGAACACGTTTTTAAGTCATATGTCATGTGACCGTCTATATTTTTTCTTCATAACAATAAAATATATAGTTTTTGTTTTATTATGCTGATGCATTTAGAAAAATTGCTATTAACTACACTGAAAACCAAATATTTTTCATTTACAAAATTCGAGATAAAAGCAGCCATATTATATATTAGACACAGCGCTATCTTGCGGGAGAAAGTAATTAATTACATTAAATTTAATTATTATCAATATTTTTTGAAAAATTTCATGTTATTATATTATTTAAATATAAAAAACATTATTACAAATTATCACAAACATTAATACAGAAAGATTTGGGTAAATATAATCAAATTTTTAAGAAAATATTAATTCCATCAGTCGATAGATATTTACTTGCGCTGCCCAAGGACTATATACTACAAGGATAGCCAGATCCCTATTCTACAATGTTAGCCAGGAATTCCAAGTTAGTGACGTCAGCACGAGACTTGCCCTCTCTGTTTACACAGAGCAGGGTGTGCACGTGTTTAGTTTTCGTTTTTAATATTCGTCCAATTTTGTGATTAACGAAGTGATTTATTTTAATATTTCTGTAATTGTTTTATTTGACTAAGTTTTTTATAAGGTAAGATGATTTAAATATAAGTCATTAAATATTTAAAGCTATATTTTTATGTTAGGTGAAGAACAAAATGCCGGGTACTAGGTGTGCTGTGTATGGTTGCAATAATAACCTTCTTTTTTCAAATTGGAAGCAACCTGTTTACATCGGGTTTGATCAAAAAATGACAAGAGAAATACTTTTAAAATTAATAGCAGAACTTTATTTACTATCGTATAATGTAGTAGCTTGCGTCAGTGACTGTAGTTGCAGTAACATAAGTTTATGGAAAGAATTGAATGTGAATATCAATGAA